GACAAACGTTCACATTCAGGAAATCCAGAGAACCCCAGTAAAACACTCTATGAGAAGATCAACCCCAAGAAACATAATTATTAGATTCTCTAAAGTCCAAATGGAGGAAAAAATGTTAAGGGCAGCTAAGGAGAAAGACCAGGTCACCTATAAAAGGAAGCCCATCAGACTAACAGCAGAAACTCTTCAATCCAGAAGAGATTGGGGACCAATATTCAACATTCTTAAAGAAAATTATTTCCAACTGAGAGTTTCATATTTGCCCAAAACTGCACTTTACAAGCAAAGGAGAAATAAAGTCCTTTCAAACAAGCAAATGTTGAGGGAATTCATTATCACCAGGTCTGCCTTGGAAAAGCTCCTGAAGGAAGCACCAAATATGGAAAGGAAAAACTGTTAGCAGCCACTACAAAACACTGAAGTACACAGACTAATGACACTATGAAGCAACTCCATTAACAAGTCTGCAAAATAACCAGCTAGCATCATGATGATGGGATCAAACTCACACATAGCAATATCAGCCTTAAATGTAAATGGGCTAAATGTCCCAATTAAAAAACAGAGAGCAATAAGCTGGATAATGAGTCAAGAACCATTGGTGTGCTGTATTAAAGAGACTCATCTCTTATGCAGAGACACACACAGGCTCAAAATAAGGGATGGAGGAAAATTTACCAAGCAAATGAAAAGCGAAAACAAACAGGACTTGCAGTCAAAGTTGCTGACAAAACAGACTTTAACAAAGGTAAACAAAGACAAAGAAGGATATTGCATAATGCTAAAGGGTTCAATTCAAGATATATCTTAAATATATATGCACCTAATACAGGAGGACCCAGATTCATAAAACAAGTTCTTAGAGAACTACAAAGAGACTTAGACTTCTACATAATAATATTGGGAGACTTTTAACACCTCACTGTCAATATTAGACATATTATTGAGACAGAAAATTAACAAAGATATTCAGGAATTGAACTCAGCTCTGGATCCAGTGACCTGGTGGATATCTACAGAACTGTCCACCCAAACAACAAGATATAAATTCTTATTGGTGCCACATTGCACTTAATCTAAACTGATCACATAATTGGAAGTAAAACACTCCTCAGCAAATGCAAAAGAACTGAAATCATAAGTCTCTCAGAACACAGTGCAACTAAATTAAAACTCAATATTAAGACACTCGCTCAAAACCATACCACTACATGGAAACTGAACATGTTTCCGAGTGACTCTCGGGTAAATAATGATATTAAGCAGAAAGCAAGAAATTGTTTGAAACTAATGAGAACAAAGAGACGATGTGCCAGAATCTCTGGGACACAGCTAATGCAGTGTTAAGAGGGAAATTTATAGCAGTAAAAGTCCACATCAAAAAGCTAGGAAGATCTCAAATTAATATGCTAACATCACAACTAAAAGACTAGAGAACCAAGAGCAAAAAGCCCCCAAAGCTAGCAGAAGACAAGAAATAACCAAGATCAGAGCAGACCTGAAGGAGATTAAAGACATAAAAAAACCTTTCAAAAAAATAAACAAATCCAGGAGCTGTTTTATTTAAAAAATTAATAAAATAAATAGACCTCTAGCTAGACTAATAAAGAATAGAGAAGAATCAAATAGACAATAAAAATGATAAAGAGAATTTCACCACTGACCTCACTGAAATATAAACAACCACCAGAGAATACTATAAACACGTCTCTGCAAATAAACTACAAAATGCAGAAGAAATGGATAAATTCCAAGATACATATACCTTCCCAGAACTGAACCAGAAAGAAGTTGAATCCCTGAATAGACCAATTCTGAAATTGACCAGTTCTGAATAGACCAGTTCTGAAATTGAGGCAGAAATAAAGAGCCTACCAGTCAACCAAAAAAAGCCCAGGACCAGAAGGATTTACAGATTAATTCTATCAGAGTTATAAAGAAGAGCTAGTATCATTTCTTCTGAAACTATTCCAAACAATTTAGAAGAAGGGATTTTTCCCTAACTCACAATATGAGGCCAGCATCATCCTGATGCCAAAATCTGTCAGAGATACAACAATAAAAGAAAACTTCAGGCCGTGATCTCTGATGGACTTCAATGCAAAAATCCTCAATAAAATACTGGCAAACTGAATCCAGCAGCACATCAAAAAGCTTATCCACCACAATCAAGTTGGCTTCATCCCCAGGTTGCAAGGCAGCATCAATATTTGCAAGTCAATAAATATAATTCATTACATAAATGGAACTAAATATAAAACCCACAATTATCTCAATAGACACACAAAGGCTTTCAAAAATTCAACATACCATATCTTAATGTTAAAAACTCTGAATAAACTAGGTACTGAAGAAACATACCTCCACATAATAAAAGCCATATATGACAAATCTCCAATCATTATCATACTGAATGGGCAAAAGCTGGAAACCATTCTGCTTGAAAACTGGCACAAGACAAGAATGTCCTCTCTGACCATTCCTATTCAACGTAGTATTGGAAGTAGGGGGCCAGAGAAATCAGGCAAGAGAAAGAAAGATAGGATATTCAAATAGGAACAGAGAAAGCCAAATTGTCTTGGTTTGCAGATGACATGATCTTATATTTAGAAAACCTCATTGTTCAGTTCATAAGCTGAGAAGCAACTTCAGCAAAATCTCAGGATACAAAATCCATGTGCAAAAATCACAAGCATTCCTATACACCAACTACAGAGAAGCAGAGAGCCAAATCATGAATTAACTCCCATTCACAATTGTTACAAAGAGAATAAAATATCTAGGAATACAGCTAACAAGGGAAGTGAAGGACCTCTTCAAGGAGAACTACAAACCACTGCCCAAGGAAATCAGAGAGAACACCAACAGATGGAAACCATTCCATGCTCCAGTATAGGAAGAGGCAATATTGTGAAAATGGCCATTTTGCCCAAAGTAATTTAGAGATTCAGTGCTATCCTCATCAAACTACCATTTACCTTCTTCACAGAATTAGAAAAATAAAAATAAAAATTTATACTGAACCAAAAAAGAGCCAAAATAGCCAAGACAATCCTAAGCAAAAAGAACAAAGCTGAAGGCATCACAATGCTGGACTTCAAACTATACTAACAAGACCACAGTAACCAAAAACAGCAGGGAAGTGGTACAAAACAGACACATAGACCAATGAAACAGGATGGAGAACTCATAAATATGACTGCACATCTCAACCATCTCATCTTTGACAAACCTGACAAAAACAAGCAATGGAGAAAGGATTCTCTAATAAAGAATGTTGGGATAACTGGCTAACCACATGCAGAAAACTGAAACTATACATTTTTCTTATACCTTATACAAAAGTTAACTCAAGATGGATTAAAGACTTAAATGTAAGATTCAAAACTATAAAAACCCTGGAAGAAAATCTTGGCAATACCATTCAGGACATAGGCACAGGCAAATATTTCATGATGAAAATGGCAAAAGCAATTGCAGCAAAAGCAAAAATTGATAAATGTGCTCTAATTTAACTAAAGAGCTTCTGTACAGCACAAGAAATTTATGATCAGAATAAACAGCCAACCAACAGAAAGTGAGAAAATTTTTGCAATCTATCCATGTGACAAAGACCTAATATCCACAATCTACAAGGAACTTAAATTTACAAGAGAAAATTAACAACCCCAGTAAAAATTGGGCAAAGGACATGAACAGACACTTCTTAAAAGAAGACATTTACATAACAGACAGATTTGAAAAACGCTCAACATCACTGATCACTAGAGAAATAGAAATCAAAACCACAATGAGATACCATCTCACCTAAGTCAGTATGGTGATTATTAAAAGTGAAGAAACAACAGATATTGGTGAGGCTGTGGAGAAATAGGAACAATTTTACACTGTTGGTGGGAATTTAAATTAGTTCAGCATTGTTGAAGACAGTATGGTAATTTCTCAAAGACCTGAAACCGGAAATACCATTTGACTAAACAATCCCATTACTGGATGTATACCCAAAGGAATAAAAATCATTCTATTATAAAGACACATGCACATGTATGTTCATTGCAGCACTCTTCATAATAGCCAAGCCATGATGTCAACCCAAATGCCTATCAATGATAGTCTAGATAAAGAAAATGTGGTATATATATAGCATGGAATACTATGCAGCCATAAAAAGGAATAAGACCATGTCTTTTGAAGGGACATAGGTGGAGTTGGAAGCCGTGATCCTTAGCAAACTAACACAGGAACAGAAAACCAAACACCACATGTTCTCATTTATAAGTGAGAGCTGAACAATGTGAATACATAGACACAGGGAGGGGAACAACACAGGCCAGGATCTGTGAGAGGGGGTGAGGGGAGAGAAAGCATCAGAAAAAAATATCTAATACATGCTGGGTTGATAGGTACAACAAATCACCATGGCACACATTTACCTATGTAACAAAACCTGTATATCCTACACACGTACTCTGGAACTTTAAAGTCTTTTTCTTGTTTTTTCATCTAGCAATGTATTTTTATTTTTTATTTTTATTTATTTTTTATTATACTTTAAGTTCTGGGGGAAGCATAGATTTGGTCTAAAAAAGAAAAGTTCTGGGGTACAAGTGCAGAATGTGCAGGTTTGTTACATAGGTACACACATGCCATGGTAGTTTGCTGCACACATCAACTCTACATTAGGTATTTATCCTAATGCTATCCCTCCCCTAGTCCCCGCCACCCTGACAGTCCCCAGTGTGTGATGTTCCCCTCCCTGTGTTCATGTGTTTTCATTGCTCAACTCCTACTAATGAGTGAGAACATGCAATGTTCAGTTTTCTGTTCTTGTGCTAGTTTGCTCAGAATGATGGTTTCCAGCTTCATCCATGTCACTGCAGATGACATGAACTCATCCTTTTTTAGGGCTGCATTGCCACATTTTCTTTACTCAGTCTAACATTGATGGGCACTTAGGTTGGTTCCAAGTCTTTGTTATTGTGAACCATGCCACAATAAACATACATATGCATGCACATATACTAAAAGTGGAATGATACAGAGAGGATTAGCATGGCCCCTGCACAATGATGACACACAAATCATGAAGTGTTCCATATTTTTATGGTGAAAAAAAACAACAATTATGGCAGCAAAAGCCACAATTGACAAATGGGATCTAATTAAACTAAAGAACTTCAGCAAATGAAACTAGCATCAGAATGAACAGGCAACCTGCATAATGAGAGAAAAATTTTGCAATCTATCCATCTGACGAAGGACTAATATCTGTAATCTACAAAGAACTTAAACAAATGTATAAGAAAAAACATCCCCATCAAAAAGTGGGCAAAGGATATGAACGATCATTTCTCAAAAGAAGACATTATACAGCCAACAAACATGAAATAAAGCTCATGTATCTACAAGTGTGAGAGCATTTTTAAACTAAATTTACTAGGACTAACATGCTATATGGCTTTATTCATTTTTTGTTTCATCTTGATATTTTGTAATTTCTTCTTTTTCCTACATTCTCTTTCCCTTTTTTACTGAGTAGTATTTATGTTTTGTATTACCTTCCTCCCATTTATACATGCTTTCAAAAATTATTTCAATGATTATGTTAACCAGAATAAGATGTCAAAGACTGAAGTCATGTAATATGATTGACTTAGAATATTGTATTTTCAAATATCTTATTCTAAAAGAATTACATGTTTCTAGCATGTTTTGTACTTTTATATTTTTAGCCACATATAGCACCAGGGACCAGTTTCACGGAAGACAATTTTTCACGGACCAGTGGGGATGGTTTTGGGGTGATTCGGGCACATGACATTTTTGTGCACTTTATTTCTATTATTATTACATTGTAATACATAATGAAATAATTGTATGACTCGCCGTAATGTAGAATCAGTGGTAGTCCTGAGCTAGTTATACTGCAACTAAACAGTCCCATTTGGGGGTGATGAGAGACAGGAACAGATCATCAGGCATTAGATTATCATAAGGAGTGCACAACCTAGATCCCTCAAGTGCACAGTGCACAATAGGGTTTGTGCTCCTGTGAGAATCTAATGAGGGGGGTGTTCTGAGAGGAGATGGGGGCTCAGGCTATAATGCAAGTGATGGGGAGTGGCTGTAAATATAGATGAAGATTCTCTCATTTGCCATGCTGGTCACCTCCTGCTGTGTAGCCAGGTTCCTAACAAGCCACAGACCCATATCAGTCAGTTGAGAGTTGGGGACCCCTGCTATACAGTCAGTATTTGCTTGCATTTCTCCAAATACTACTAATGTTCTTTTTCAGTCTTTACCTTGTATTTATGCATTTTCATCTTAGATTATTTTTATTCTTCCAAAATTTCATTTGAATTTTTTTTTTTGGTATGACTTGTTTGTAACAAAATGCTACCTGGATGGATAATTGATTAGATATTCTTGCAAGCCCTGAGGGTGGTTATTCCTGTGATGAAATAATCTAATTAGAAAAGATGGCCCAAAATTTAGCTCTTGCTTGATCTCAAGTTATGAATTGCCCCAGTTGGGTCTTTGAAAGTATTCATTTTGACTTCAAATCACTGGTCAGGGATGTTTTGTTTTGTCTTTTGAGACAAAGTTTCACTTTGTCATCCAGGCTGGAGTGCAGAGGCACAATCTTGGCTCACTAAAACCTCTGCCTCCACTGTTCAAAGGATTCTCCTGCCTCAGACTCCCAAGTAGCTTGGATTATAGGCATGCACCACCACACTCGGCTCAATTTTGTATTTTTAGTAGCAATGGGTTTTCACCATGTTGGCCAGGCTGTTCTTAAACTCCCCACCTTATGTGATCCACCCACCCTGGCCTCCCAAAGTTCTGGGATTACAGGCATGAGCCACCATGCCTGGCCAGGTCAGGGTTTTTATGGGTGATAGATTTGCCCTAGACTTCCTTCTTCTAAGTGAAGTCCATGCAATTGCAGATATATCCTACTGTACCTGGAGAAATGCCAGAAGTCAAATGGAAAGAGGATACAGAAATGCAAGGAGAAAGTTAATAGCTTTAATAATAAGATATTGATGATTTATGGGAGATCAAGTAGCTGGAAAATGTTATTTCAAAAAATTATTTCTGAAAAATTCTTAGTCATTATCTCTTCTGTTGCCTCTGTTCTTGGGCCTTCTCTTCTTCTGTGGCTGTCATGAAAGACCATTAGATTTCCTCTTTGCGGCCTCCACATTTTCATTACTACAACTCCATAGTTTTTGAGGGATTTATCTTGGTAATTTATTTTGGCTTGTATTTCATCTCCCTAGTTTTCTATGTTTTTTAAAGAATTCTGGACCCAAACTTACCAAGTAAGTTTTAATTATGGTCACTGTTTTTTGTTATTTTTTTTCACTTCTACAGATTTTATTTGAATCTTTCTCAAATAATCTTAGTGATGTAACACTTTCTGATTCCCTGCACATATTTTCAAGCCTGTCTTAATATCATACATTTTTGTTCACAGTCTGATAATTCCAATTAGTATGATGAATGTGTGGGTGAATTTTTGCTGTCTGTTACTTCTACTTGTTTTCCTATTCGTTCCTTCTTCTGTTATGCGGTCAATTGTGTGACTAGTTATTTTTGACTTTATATTAGTCACTGTCTTTGAAAAGTAATTTTTGGACTTCTGAACAGCTGAGATGAATGTACCTCCTCCAGAAAGATTTTACTTTCTTTCTGCTATGTACCTATGGCACTATTATTTAGACACTTCTTCAAGTGCCAAATTCAATGGTTGAATTCTCTTGATCCCCCAAGAATATGATTCCTTAGGGTTCTAACCAGGAGAGAGTCAGTTTTTATCTATAAGTTTCTAATGCTAGGGCTGGTGTAGGTTTATTTCTAGTTCAAGCATATCCTAAAATTGCAACCCTGAATTTAGAGTCTCTATCTGTATTCATCACCTTGGCAAGACTCATGCTTTTATTTTTACCTTCCTTGCCCTCTTCGACCCTCCAAAGTAAGGGCTAAATTTTTCCAAGGTTTGCACATACCCTGAAGGTCTATGTACTGCCTAAGACTCCAAACCGTTGCTTATTCTTAAACTTTGGTCTGATAATTCTTTATTATTTTGTCATCTCTTTGATGTTTGTACAGGCACTTTATTCAGTATTCTTTGTTGTTTTAATGGAAAAATTAGTTTGAATAACATTAAGTGACATTAGAGGAACATTTTGCTGGAAAATATTTTGCTTATTTTAATATTGGTTTTAACCTATAGTTACTGGGCATTTGTTACATAGCAGACATTGTGTAAAGAATCCGTTTTAATCCTTGCAAAATTCCCAATATATATTTGAAAAAGGGTCTTGCCAAAAGTCACTAAAGGCAAAAAGAGAAATATGTGTGTATAAGAAAAGCATTCACATATGTAATATGAAAACATTCTTTACCTAGATTTCTCAGTTACCCAATTAACTTTAGGAGAGACAGAGAGAGAGAAAGAGAGAGAGAGAGAGAAAGAATAGATACACACACATATATAAATATTTATATCTATACATGCGCGCGCGCACACACACACACACACACACACACACACACACACACACATATATATATATATATATATATATATATATTATTAAGAACACTATGTGGACCATACATTTTATGAAGACTCCTCTCATTGTTCTAGAAAAAAAAGTTTTCAACTATACCTATTATAAAGGAAATTATATGTTCATATATAACAATGATAACAGAGGCAGTAAAAATAGCAAAATATGACATGTAGTTAGAACATGAGATTGGGAGTGACACTGCACTAATTTAATTTCAGTGTCATTGTGTACTTAGCTGTGGAGCTTGATTCAAGTTCTTTAACTTTGTCCAATTTGTCACCTATAAAAATACATGAATATTTTCAATTTTTTAATATATTTTTATATAGGTAGAATGCTGATATAGTGGACGTGAATTTTAAAAAGCAGATCATGGCACATCATAGTTTATAATCTGGTTATCAATATTTTTATAGTTATTTAATTCTTTAGAGAATTATAATATGTACAGATTTCACATACTTATAATGAATTTGGTCCCAAACCATGTAAGCATTTTATTTTATGATGAACCTATCTGGAAAAGCATTTTACTGGTACTTATGCTAAGCTAATTATGAAGCAGGAAATGTTGCAATTTATTTAAACTGAAGGTAGGGGGACCCATATGAACAAACATAGCAGGTGGCTTCTGTTGAAAAGGAACTAATGAAAAAACTTCTTCAAAAACAATGACTTTTAAAGGAATGCAATTCAGATAGCAAACTAGTTCGTAGAGCCGAAGAAATATTTCATTTAAAACTTAGCCAATTTAAAAGAGAATGGTCACTGTTTTGAATTAATTTTTGTTCTGAAAGAGTAAAAGGTAGAACTGTTCTCAAAAGAAGTAAACAACATAATCCTTAAGAATTAGGTGAAATAAGTAGAAATCATTGGAAGAATAAATAAACAAAAACACTAGAAAGGTAGATCTAAGAGACACAGTGTATGAATGAAAGGAATTCCACAAGCTAGATACGAATAATTGAGTAATACTTTGCACAAGAATTTTAACTGGTAAGTGAATGGATTAACCAAGTCTCTGGCAAGTTTAACAAAAATTAAATGAAAATACAACATTGGTCCTCTGAAATTCTTAAATATAGAGAAAAGTGGGGAAAAATTATTTTGTACTTGGGAACAGGTGTGTGTGTGTGTGTGTGTGTCCTCACGCACACGTTGCAATGAAAAGAAAAGCAGCCTTCTCTAATCAATGTAGACATTTGTAATCAAGGAAGAGAGAAGACAGTGGAACAATGTTTAAAGATAAATGTAATAGACGTTTGAGTAATCATACATATTAAATAATAAAATGTACAGATTCATGGCATAGTTTAATACTATACACACACACACATATTTAGTTACATGTATTTTTAATTCTACAAAAGGGTTATTCTAAATTAAATTTGCCTAAGGTTACACATGTCGTAAGAGGCGGGATTTGAACCTTGCATTTGGCCCCAGAGTCCCTGCGGTTAACTATGCGCTGTAATGCCCCAGTTATAACAATAACAATAATATTAAACATTTATCGAGTGC